CATCGGCTCAAATCTCCTTTTCACACTTTCACCTGTTCTTCTCCTCCTTTTTTTCCAAACCTTTTTATTTTCTTTTACTTTATTTAGATGCCTTTTTCGTGCATTAAAAAAGGCGACACACTTTAATTAAAAAAAAAAGGTACTACTCCCTCATATTTTTATTATTTGTCGTTTTAAGAAGTAACACGCTAATTAAAAAAAAAATTTCTTATCAATATTAATCATATTTAATAAATGTTATATGAAACAATGGAGATGAGATATAAAGAGACTGCGTATTAAATGGAGGGTTAAAAACGAAAAAATATGAACAAAATAGTCAAAACGATATTTATTTAATTAATTATCAATTAAGTCAGGATGACAAATATTAAAAAAAGAAAGAAGTACTAATTATGCAATTTCTTTTTCCTTTTTCCATTATTTTGTTCTTCTTTACACAGCGCATAAAAGGTTGCCTACCTTTGTTTTCCTTTTTCTTTTACTATATATGCAAAAAACAAAAAATAAAAAAGAAAATCTCCTCTTTCATTTTTTTTTTTTTTCATTTTCTTTAGCAACTATTAATTTTATATTTACAAATAATCAATATTTTAGTTTTTCGTATAAGTAAACAACGACACTAAATAAAAAGTATAGATTTATTAATTTGTGCAGTTTTTACTACGATTCTTAAACATTGAAAACTAGTACAACACCTCTGTATTAGACGGGTTGCTTGTTAGAAAATTATTCTTAAATTTTATAATTAGTGAGAAAACTATATTAAATTTAGTTAATTTTTTACAAAAAAAATATATTACTATATATTTTAGAATGATATGTGTTACTTATGACTTACATTAGTTTTTATAACTTATATCATATAACTACTTGAAATATAAATATATTAGTTGATAAATAATTCTATTTTTTTAATTAATATTAAAAATAATTTTATTATTGTTATAAAGATAAATATAATTTTATTTATACATACAATATGAATGTTAAATCGAAGCTCATCAAAAGAAGATTAATTTGATATATTACATATGTAAAATTGATAAAAAATACAAAAGTTATTAACTTTTAAAATATATATACAATTCAATGGTTATAATAAGGAATAATATTAAAATGCAATTAATACATGTAACATGACCGTAAATAATCAACATATTTATGGTAATTTGAACCTAATTATTTTTTGTTTGAAATTAAATTAAAATTTACTCAAGCTTAATAATGAAGCATGTAATTTTGCCACGTAAGATTTCGAAGCACCAGAAGCAGTCTCAGCACGTTCTGGATTAATATATAGGGGAGGGGAATATCCCCAGTTTTTCGTATAAGTATAAATCTTATTAATTTTGTATAAGATCCACCCATAATGAAAAGATATACTTTTATTTATATTATTTTAAAAAATACCTCAAGCAAGTATTAATATTTATTTAAACGAATATTATTATCCGGTATTTAATAATGAAAAAGAAAATGGAGTTGTGGGTATTATTATTTTTAACAACAAAATATTAATTAGAATATTGTAAGTGCAACATCTGTCTATTTATTTTTCTCAGTCATTATAATTTTACATCTTTTGTAAAAAAAAAATTGCTTTACTTTATGCCTTTATGAATGAAGTCTTCACAGTTCAGAAAGAATCATCATCATCATCTTCTCCTTTTGACCTTTTGGTAACGCACGCTTTCACTTGCCTTTTACGCGTTTTTGGAGCCCACAGCAATCAATGAAAATGATAATATGATATGTGTAACTTTTGAAGCTAATGATGATACCATTCTTATAGTTGAAGAATTTACATTAACAATGTGTAACTAGCGGCCTAACCGTCGATCATAAATATTTTTATTACAAATTATATAATTATATAACGTAATATCGGGGGCGAAACCACAGTATTAATCGGAGAGGCGCCGGTCCTTCCAAAAAAAAAAAAATCGAACTAAAGGTGGGGGGTTTTGCTGGAACTGGAAGGGCGCCCTTTGAGGGCCCTTCTGATGCCGGAGTGGAGGTGGTACGCCGCGGGATAGTCGGAGGGGCGCCACCAGAAATCCGGAATCCGAAAACACAGAGCAGCTGAGCAGGGAGGCATGAGCCATAGAGGGGAAGTTGGATCGGAGAAAATTTGTGTTTGTATTTAGTTTTGTCGTGAATTTTTTTTTTTTAAATACAAATTGGGCCTTCCTAGAAACGAAATCCTGGTTTCGCCACTGCGCAATATCATTATTTTGTTTGTGTTGTTTTTTTATGATATGAACATTTATTGACAAATACTCGGATCATAATCTTTTTAAATGTCATTATGTGCTTTAAACATATAGATTAAAAAAAAAAAAATCTTGCCAATATATATTAGCCTTCTTTAAAACAATTTAAATTATTAATTTATTTTTTTCTTTTCAACTTTTTTTTTATGCTCTTTTAAGAGATGAAACTCACCGTCTTCCACAACTTTCTTCCCAAAACGTATAGTGTACTAATTAAATAAAGGTAACAATGAAGAAATATGTACCAATGACATTTATTTAATTAACAATTAATAAAACTAAAATGACAAATAAAAAGAATACAAGAGAATATGTTTTTGTAACAATTAAGACTGTGTTTGTAAAAGAAAAAAACTGAATCCAAAATAATTCATACTCAAAATTTAACTAATCTTTAACTCAATCACACTATCCCCAATACTATCAATATAGTTAAATAATATTAACCAACGATTTTTAATCATTTTTACACATCATGTCAACTTTAATCCAATATTTATCCACTCACATAATTTTAACTAATTATCACTTTATATCATCTTTCTCGTACTTTCACTATTCATATGCTAACGATTAGGCGATCGATGTGTCATATATTATAATAAAAATGCATGCTTATGTTGTAAATATTATGTTATTGTTTCTATTGAATTTTATGGTGTAACTTTTTATTTTAAATGTATACATATGTGTTGATTAATTAAATATGACTATCATCATTAAGGGGGAGATGATACGGTGCCATTACGGAATTATGTTGGGGTTTGTAACTGTTAGAGCAACTATCCCCAACGTTTACATGATGATTTGATGGTTATAAATCTGACGAAATGGTTCTATAACGGGACCGTAACATGTTCTATCATTAAGTATGTCTAATATATAGTAG